GTGGATGTTTTTGGTGTAGCGTGAAGAAGACGTCCCCGAGGAAGAAGTACGGACTGCTGGCCCGCTCGGATGACGCGTTGGAGCTGACGGCGGCGGTGGCGAGCGACGACGATGACGACAACACGCTCTACGAAGCTCGCCCCCTCCGCAGGACAGAAGTCGCGCCGTGACGCGGCACCGCCCACGAAGTCACTTGGCGTGTTCGCCCGAGTCACCGGAGAAGACGATCGACGGCCAGCCTCCGGCGGGAAAATCAACCAAAGAAGACTTTTCGTTTTGTTTGTTATTTTTTTGTGATACATTTTGTTCATTTTTTTACATTAGTTTGACATTTATTGCGGAATTTGTTTTATTTTTACTTTAAAAGATATTATATATTTTTTGTTGTTGTTTTTGCTGTTTTTCCAAAGAGGAGGAGGAGCTAGCTGACTGTCGTCACTCGTGATTGGTCCGATCACTTTTACCAATCTTGGTGTTGAGCATCATGGGTAATTTGGACTTTTTTTTTGGACTGAGTATGGGGTGTCACGGTGGCGGGTGTATTGCTGACGTATGTCCAGCAGGTGTCGTTTGGACCAAAACATCCACTTTTTTTCCCCTAAAGCAAATTAAAATGGATACTTTTTCTATGAGCGAACCTTCTTTTTACCTGCACCGTCATTTGCGTATTCATCTCGAGATGTCAGCAACCCGACTGGACAACACAAATTTCTCAAATCGCACTCAATCTGATTTTGCGTTTTACAGGTATTCGTGTCTTTTGACGTCCCCACAATTAGTTGAGACCCATTCTGAAAAATGCAAGTATTGTCCTAATAGAAATGTGATCAATTTGGCATTTCGTGTGTTCGGACGTGTATTTTCGGAGTAAAGCGAAGTTGTCTTACCTTGCTCACACTCGGGGCCTCACCGGCGCCTCCTGGCGTGACGCCCTTCTTCTGCAGTTAAGGACGTACAGTAACACCGAAAGAAAGAGCCTCCACTTCAAATAAACCCTGCAAGGAAATTAAATTGAGAAAGATGACATTTTTGCTATAACCGTCGGTTTAGTTTTGAGACAAAAATGCTTCATTTAATTTTGGTACGTATGTCAGCCAATTTGATAACATTTTATCCTTTGTCACGATAAAACACGTTAAAAATGGTGAAATTGAACCATTTCTGCTACCACGTCATTCGTACAGTATTTCCACTGTCACTAATGCAAATAGTAATAATTGAAAAGCATTGCAAACAGTACAGTAATCATCAAAGGCGCCACGTCCACTAATTGCTGTTGACCATTATTCAAGGGGGGCGCTGTGAGGATTTCTTCTTGTTTCCGCGGCCCACCAACGAGGAAGTCAAGTGGCACGCTATTGGTCGGCGATTCGGCGAGAGCGCTTTCCGATTGGCCGCTCATGCTTCCGCTTGGCTTCGGAGTGGCCCGCCAGCCGAGCGCTAAACGGCGCCATCGTCGAACCGCGTCCGCTCGAGCGTGCGACGTTTCGCCAAAAAGCAACCGCGAGGCAGCCCGCCGCCGCGCCTTTCCTCTTGTCCCGTCTTACTCGCCATTCGAATGCTCTGAAAAACGGGCACGCGGAGTCGAAGACGCCGGGAGCTAACGCGGCTCGCCGCTAACGATCGCGCGCCCAAACGCTCACTCCGCCCCTTCGTTTCTTTTCTTTTCTTTTCTTGCATTTTTATTTTTTGACGGTTGTTTTGTGCCGAAGTGTCAGTCATCGATGAGCTGCCCGGTCAACCTCCAGGCTTTGCAGGCTGCTGCTTTCCACCAGGCCCCCGGTCCCCGAAACGTGGGGGCGAGGTGAGCGAAATTTGCTCTCATGCTTCCTTGCAGATAATCAGAATAATACCGCTAATAATGATGATGGGCACAGGTTCTACTACTTGGACGACTGAAGAACAAATGTCTACTGTCCCGCATTTCTAGGGCCCGTCCACAAGCGTGAATGTAGCGGTACCGTCCATGCAAGCAGGCTTGAGGGCGCTCGGTGTCAGAAAACTGCTCGGAATCCTCCCGAAAATTGACATGCGCATCTCAACGTGTGCATCCTCTTCAAACATCAAAAACAATCGCCGCAGTATTTTGGAATTTGTGAGCATTCACTGTCGCTTTTTCTTCACCAGAGCTTAACGTTGTTTAGTGTTCGCAAACGCTCGCCAAACGCCACCCAAATTCATGCGCACCACTCGACCGATGCCTTCTGAGAATATCCAAAAGAATTGGGCATTTTACGGACATCGGGCATTTTCCTCAAGTGAGTACCCATGGCGAGGAAGAGACAGTCATGTCCTTGGAGCGATCCTTTTGATATTTGCGGAGATTGATGAGGGTTTGGGGGGGGGGGGGGGCATCAAGAGACCTGCAGCTTTTTTGATGGAGTGGAAAACTTAACGCCTACAGAATCCTAAATATGAATTGTCTTTTTTTCTTTTTCATTCAGCGTTCTGGACAGTCCCCATTTCACGCTCATTTCTCGGGGCTGTCCCTGAAAGGGCTTTTTGACGGCCGTTTAAAACGCAATAAATATTTCAGGGAGACGGCGGCAGACCCCTGCGCGAGCCCCACCAGTGAGCACAGGCCCGATGATCACTTCACCGTTTTGATCACGTCACTTGATGCTTTTGTTTCTCTTTGAAGTCAGTGGGCAGGGCAGCTCATTCCGCGCCTCTGCAACCCCGGACTGCAAAAGCAAGGAAAGGAACATTTTGGGCGTTTTTTGTTTTTTTTTTCCCCCTTAGCCGATTTCACAGCTGGATTTCTTGTAGCCGTGCCCTCAGCCTGTGAAGGTCTTTGCATGTCGCCGAGCATCCAAACAAGATCGGAGTTTGTCCGTGTGATGTCGTTGCTTCCCATATGCGCAACTTTCAGGACATGACGAGGGACGCTAACGGAATGCGAACAGAAAACCCGGCGTTGCGTTGGGCAATAGAGTGATTTCCTGCCTAACCAAAACCTGACCCGCGTTGTCCTTGGAAGGTCCCTGACGGCGCTCAGCTTCCCCAAATCCAGAACTTGTTTGTGGGACGGCCGCCCCGCCGGAGAGAAACTCTGCATCCAGCTGTGCTCTCACAGGTAAAAGGCCGACTCATCCGTTGCGCGCGCAGGCTAATATTCCGGCAGGTGAAGTTCAAAAGGGTGAACCACCCGAAGACGGTAAACCCGCCAGCCGGACGACGACTACCTTCTGTCCGCGCGGCATTTTACGTGCCGCGTGGACAGTTCCGACCGGCGGAGCCTCTCCGCTTGTTTTGATTGGTTTCGATGCGTCGGCGTATGCCCGTGCAAAGTACAAAGTCGGGCGGGCCGCGTTTTCAGCCGCCGCATCTTGACAACTGTCCGAATTTGTCCCCGTTTTCAAGACTCGTCTTTTATTCCCGATGTGATGAACGGTTGCCGTGGTTAACGCCGCTCTTGTCTTGCCGCCGCGCTCAATGTTTTCATTTTGGCCGTCCGGAGACTTGCAAGCGTTTGTGTGTGTTTAGAATGCCGCGCCTCCTTCTGCGCGAGAAGGCCCTTCGTCTGGCTCAGCGTCACGCCCGCCGATGCGACGCGTCTCCTGTCCGCTGCTTCTTCCTGGGCTCCGTGGCCGTGGACGCAGGTCAGAGGTCACGTCTCGGCTCGCCTCGCGTCGCGTGTGAAGACCAAAGCCGGCCAAAATGTTCGGCGGGGCGGGGCGCGCTTGCCCGCCATCTGCGACCGGCTCGGCTGCCGTTCCGCGTGCGGATCTCGGTGCCCGATCCAAAAGCCGGGCCGTCTATCGCGTGGCTGCTCGGGGTGACCGGGGCAAAGTGGAAGAAAGAAAGCGGTCGAAGAGACCAAAAGCCTTGAGGGCCGCGTTCCCGGGAGACCCCGACCGAGTCATCGGTCGGCCAATTTGTTCTCAGCAGATATTTTCAAATATGCCGTCGATCTCGGTCTGAAACGGAATGGAACGACACGGCCGAATCCGGCACGATTTATGCATCGTCGGTGTCCCCTGCCGTCCCCAGACGAGGAGGGCGTCACCGTGACGCTGGACCGCTTCGATCCGGGGCGAGAGCGGGCCGCCGACCCGGGCCGCGTTCCTGCGGCCGCGATGCCGGGGGATGTGCTGGTTCCTTGCTCCTTCTCGGGCCAGGAGAGCTCCGAGGACCTCATCCAATCGGAGGCTGAGCTGACGCGCTCCATCTCTGTGAGTCCCGCCCATCGGTCACTCAAACGTCCGTATTCAAGCGCGCACACAGCGTCAAAAGGTTTTCGCTTTCCTTTGTTCAATTCATTTTTTTCCACTAAAGCAAAAGACAAAAGCTTTCGACAAGACGAACGCGACAGCTCGACGTAGCGTGCGTATTTTGGGCGGGGGCTGCGGAAGGGACGAATGCCGTTTCAGGAAAATGGATTTGTTAGACCAGGAAGCTCCGGCACACACACACACAAAGACAACGGAGCTGTGGGGGTTGTTTTGTTTTCTACCCCCTCCCCATCCCGACAAGGATTTCATGCGGCACGAGCGCAGCAAACTCACGTGACCGATATTGTCCGAATTTTCATCTCTTGAATGTCGAGGACCGTCCAAAACCGAGAGAGAGCGAGAGACGGTCCAAGCTCCGTGTAAGTCGAGCGGAACGAAAAACGGTCGTTTGTGGTGTCGTCAGGCAGTACGGGCTCACGTGAGCGGCCGGCAGCCCCTGGATCTGTGCCAGCTGATGAAGGTGAAAGGTCGCGTCAGCTGCGAGCGGCGGGGAGACGCCGCGTCCTTCTGGCTGGGCTGGTCGTCCGTGTGTCCGTCCGTCCGCTTGGACGCGCAGCCGGTCCGCCCCGTCCCCGTCATCCCCACCGCGCTGCTCAGGAGTTTGAGTGGCGCGGGCGGCCGCCGGCGAGGGTGAGGCCGTCGCCGGGCGCGTGGCGGATAACGCCGGCCGGCGTACCGATGGCGCGTGTGCCTGCGTGCAGGTTTGTGACGATGGATCAGAGCAGGAAGTTGCTGCTGCTGCTGGAGTCTGACCCCAAAGCCTCCAAACTGCCGCTGGTTGGCATGTAAGTCTCCCGGGCACGCGCGGAGCTGCGGCGAGCGAATGAACGGCAGGGCGCGCGCTCCCCGGAAGCCGCCTCCCCAAGGACGAGGCGAGGTGGGGAGCGGCGAGGTCGACGCTTGGCACCAAAGGGCAAGGGGGCGGTCTCCGCATTTTGGACTGTTGTCCGACATGTGCAGGAGCGGCTCGCTGTCGGCGCCGTCGATTTTGCGATGAACTGACGGCTTGTTCAAGTGCGCAGGTATTGCTGCCAGCTTGACGTTCTTCCCGTTGCGCGGCAGCTGGCTGAGCGGCGTGAGCCTCGTGTCCAACCCTCACGTGTGCGCCTGGTGTCTCCGGTTCCTCTTTGGCTCCGCCCTCCAAGACAGGTTGGTGACGTCACAGGAAGCGCCGGCGCCCGAAGCCCCGCGGCCACGTTTTCTCGTCCGCCCGTCAGGGTTCTGTCGGAGGACGACGCTTTCCTGCTGGTCACCTTCGCCTCCCCGCGCGCGGCGCCCGCCTTCTTCCAGTGTCGGCCTTCCGCGTCCGCCCCCGCTCGGCGGCTGGAGTGCCGGCTGCTGAGCGCCCGGCGGCGCGTGACGCTCTACCAGGTGAGTGCGAAGAAGGCCCGCGGGAGGTCGGGGGCGTGAGCCTGAAAGGTGACGAGCCACCGCTGCTCGGCAGGGCGCGGCGGCGGAAGGTCGGCCTTTGGAGTTCCAGCTGATCCCGGAAGCCGACCCGAGGCAAGCGCGAGTCTTCCGAGACGCCCGGCGCTCCTTCGGCAGGTCAGTCGCCGCACCTTCGGTCGGACCCCGTCGCTTCGTTTTCCGAGTTGAGCGCTGACGTGGCGGAGAGGCGCGGCCTTACAACAGCGCTCGGTCTCGGCGAGCCTTGAAAGCAAAAACAAAACAAAAGCCGCTCGAGATCGGCTCAAGCGGCGGACTCGTTGCCAAAAGCGAGGCGCGTACTCGTGTCTCTTAAGCGGAGACGTGATGATCGGGGATGCGGGTGACCGAACTGTGGGTACACTTGAGTCAAGGCAGGGCAAAAATGCATTTTTGTGAGGGAGCGATGGGGCCGTTGTGTCTGAATGGCTTTCTCGCATGCCTTGTTCTTGTTGGTAGTGACAGTCCTCCTCCTCCTCCTCCTCCGGCGGCGACGACATGTGTCAGCGAGCAAGACTCTGGCGTGCAGGACGACGAGTGGTCACCTCGACCTTCGCCTCGCCCCCACTTTCCCGCACAGCAGGTAGGCGAGCGCGCCGCCCGCCGTTGGCGGCGCGTTCCGGCCCGGGCCACACGACGTCTCGCTTTTCAGGCTCCTCCCGTTCAGCCGGCCGTTCCGGAACTTTCTCTGTTGATGGACGGCGGCGCCGAGGACGACGGGGAGCGGGCTCCTCCTCTCCTCCACAGCACCCCCGACCCTCACCCCCCTCAGCGGACCACCCGCCGCCCCCCGCTTGGCACGCCGGTGGCCCGCAGCCCCCCCGCGCCCAAGCCTCGCCATCCTCCCGCCTCCGCGCCGGCCGCCGGGTCGCCCGCCCGTGTGCCGCGCTCCTCCTTTGAGACGGAATCGTGCGACGCCCGGCGCTTCCTCTGGCAAGACCGGCAGCTCCGCCTCCTGCAGGCTCAGGTAAGAACGGCCGACTCCCTCCGCCCCACGGGAACTTGACCGGGCTGGGGCGGAACCTTTGTCTGGCCTCTCGACTGAATTGATCATCCATCCATTTTCGAAGCCGCAGCCTATCCTGGCCGCCTTGGGGCAGCAGGGGGGGCGCGCCCCGACCCGGTTGCCAGCCCATCGCGGGGCACACGCAGACCAACAACCATCCGCGTTCGCACTCACACCGCGGAATAGTCGTAACCTGCCACGCATGTTTTTGGAATGCGGGAGGAAAGCAAAGTACCCGGAGAAAACCCGGGCAGGCGCGGGGGGAGCACGCAAAGGTCGGGGGCTGGAATTGAACCCCCAACCACTGCGCTGTGAGGCGGGGGTGCTAATTTAGCACCCGCCGGGCGGGCCGGCGCCCGGATTGATGAAGCGAGAAAGACAAACTCGTTCAGGTTCAAACTGTTCAACTTGATTGAGCGAGTTCAGTATTTTGTCGCGCAAATAATCACGCCCTGTTGGATTTGATGGCTGCAGCACGTTGCCAAAAAGATGCCGCTGGGTCTTTGAACAACTTTTGGGAAGGCGGGGTGGCGCGGTGTAGCTCGCGTGGGGGCCAAAGTCGGTCCTCGGGGGCCGCCCCGCCCGTTTTGCGTCATCACAGCGGTTCTCGTGCCACTTCGGAGCCGGAAAACATGCCTGGTGGAGCTCGAGCCATTCAAGCTTCCTTGAATGGCTCGCCCTCGCCACATCTCCGCTTTGCTTCCTTTTTACGCGTCATCACAGCGGTTCTCGTGCCGCTTCGGAGCCATAACCCACGTATTTATGTGGTGCGCGCGCAGGTCCAGATGCTGCTGGAAGCTCAGGCGGTGCGGCCGACCCGCGGGACCGAGGGCACCTGTACCAGCAGCAGCGTTGCCGTGGCAACGGGTGAGGCTCCCCGTCGACTCGTCCGTTGCGGGCCCCGTTTGGATTTGTTGATTTTGGTTCTCAGGTGCCAGTCTCCTTTGGTGCGCTCAGACTCCGCCTCCCCAGGCGGTCCCTGGCGCCCTCGCCTCGCCCTCCCGGGAAGACGACGTCGCGGGCCCGGAGCCGACGGTCGAGACGGAGCCCCGCTTTTACGGCGACCGCACGCACGTACGTGACGTGACGCGCACTCTTTGTCCTCGGGAGGGCGCCGCGTGCCCGACGCCGGCTTTCTTTCGCGGCATCGGCCGCCGATACCGGCCGAGGCCGCTCGAGCAACAAACGCCGCTCGTCTGTCAAAGCGCGGCACTCCGACTTCGCGTTTCATCTGCCGTCGACCCAAACGGAAGCCGTCGCCGTCATACGACCTGACCCGGACAACAGGGGAGCGGACTCTCCCTGTGCCGCGATTGCCCGGCGGCGCGCGTGACCTGACTCGTGCGTGCTTGTCCCCTTCAGGGAGCGGCCGAAGCGACGAGCGGCTCGCCGGCGTCCCAGAGGAAGGGGCGCGGCGGCGGCGGCGCGGAGGGCCGAGAGGTCGTGACCGGCGTGTCGCAACAACGCAGGTACGCACGTCACGTAACCGCCGGCCGGAGAGGAAGCGCGCCGTCTCGTCGGCATCGAACGTTTGCTCACCTTGATCTGGTTTTCATTCGGAGGGAGATGTTTCGGGCCGTTTGACTTATCGGGACCTTTTGGGCAGCGCGCCGACCGACCCGGACGGGACGGCCATTTTGCTGGAGTACCTCAAGCGCTCGCCGCCGGGCGACGCGACCTCGCCGGGCCCCGCCCTCTCGCCGCTGTCGCCGAGCAACATGTCGGTGGCCACGGCGACTTACATGCGTCGTCACGGCCTCCTGGCGGGCCCGCTCGAGCTCCTCCCGCGGAGCCGCTTGATCGGGGAGCCGAGGCCCGCGGCGGCGCCGCCGGCCGACGAGATGGCCGACGAGGAGAAGCCCGAGGCCGGCCGGCCGCCGGCGCCCGGGGACGCCTCGGTGGGCAACATCCTGGACCTCAGTCGCCTCAGACAGCTGCCCAAGCTCTTTTAACGCTCAGGTGCTCGCTTTTAATTTGAAAGGGTCTCTTTTGGCTCGCGCTAATAAAGTGCTTTTTGTTTGAAAGGGCGTGTTTTGGCTCGTCCTTAACGGGTTAGTGTGGAGCGTGCGTGACGTGCGAGCCGTCGAGTGGAAAAAGGCCCCCGACGTTGCTGACCTAACGGGCGAAAAGCGCACGTGATGTTCAAGGTTGTGGAAAGCGCTTCGTTGCAGCTGCCGTCGAGAACGGCGGATCGTCTCGGAGGCTGCGGACGGACGCTCGCTCTGCTCGTCGAGTACAAATATGACCGTCGCCCCCTCGGGGTCCCAAGGTCCACGCCGTGTTTGCGCACCGCAGGTCGCCGACCTCCGTGACGCATAAATCCCGCGTGTCGTCTGCCCAGGTAAGAACTTTTTTGTCCGACTCTGCGAATAAAAAGATTGGCGTGATCGTTACTTTGAATTTCTTCCCTGCTTTTGCCCCTCGGCGCGTAAAAATGCTCAGTCCACTTTTTTTCCTTTTGGGAGGTTCATATTTGATGTCTTGACTGAAAGCGGTGCCTCTGCGCGCAACAGGAGCTTGTGTTTGCCTACGCGTCGGTAGAACGTCGCATTGCGGAACGAGCTCGCAACAAGTGCAAGCCGGGACGTCGTATTTCTGGGATGGATTCCATCCGTCTTGGGTCATTTTCTTGTCCGCTCGGGCTCGGCGTCAAGGCGCGCCCGCCCGTCCAAGTGAGCCGACGAGCGAGATGGCCGCGGCGGTCACGGTGGGGCGCGTTGGTGGAGGCCGCCGGCGGCCGTTTGCTCAACGAAGCCGTTGCGGAACCGGCGGCCGCTCGCCTCCTCCACCCGTTCGGGACGGCCGCCGCTTTGAACTGTGGCGCGAGGCTAATTCGGTTGATTCCGGCGCGGTTGTGCAACTTTGGCCACTTGTGCTTTGCGCTTGGCGTCTTTGCTACTTTCACAGTCGCAGTGCGACATTGTCACACCGACTGGGGACCTTCTTTTTTCTCCCGCCCGGAACAAAAAGAGTCCCTTTCCGAATCTCCCATCCAGTAAAATAGGGAAAAAACTTTTTGCATGGCCTGCGCGGGCTGTTTTCCGGGCGTTGTCGCGGCGGCGCTGGAACAAACGAGCGCTCACGGTTCGCCCCGCCGCCCGGACCGGCTGTCCGCAGGATGGCCTCTTGCCATTGGCTGTTTCTTCTCAGCGTTTTGTCTCTGGCGTCCGGCCGGGCGCCCGAGGACCCGTGCGGCATCAAGGCCAAGGACGCGGCCCTGGAGCCTCGCTGCGTCTACCGGGCCCCCGAGGGAGAGCCCGCCGACCGCGAGGACCTCGAGGCCTCGGTCCCGAGAGCGACCGATCGGCGCGTGTGGGAGCTGTCCGTCGCCAACGCCCGCTTCGCCCTGTCGCTGTACCGACGGGTGGCGCTCGGCCGGACCGCCGACAGCAACGTCTTCCTGTCCCCGCTGGGCGTGTCGGCCGCCTTCTCCGTGACCAAACTGGGCGCCTGCGGACGCACGCTGGAGGAAATCATGAAGGTGGCGCTAGCGAGCAAGCCGGCGCTCGGTCGGCTCGAGCGCCTCCGACTGACGCGTTCGCGCGTGTGTCGGCAGGTGTTTGAGTTCGATTCGGTGACGGGGAGGACGTCGGCCCAAGTCCACTTTTACTTCGCCAAGCTCCTGTGTCGCTTGCAAAGGACAAAGGACGCCAGCACCGAGCTGGCGGTGGCCACTCGCCTCTTCGGGGACCGATCGCTGCGCTTCGACGCCGCCTACCAGAACATCAGCCGACGCGTCTACGGCGCCGAGATGATGTCGCTGGACTTGAGGGTCGGTGCGAGGGCTCCTTTTCGTTGCCGAGCCAGCGGTCGCTCGCGTTTCGTCCGCGCGCCTCCTAAAAGGTGTCGCCGTGCCTCAGGGCGAGCCGGAAGCGTCCCGCGGCGCCATCAACGCTTGGGTGGCCAACAAGACGGAGAACAACATCCGGGACGCGCTGCCCGCCGGCGCCATCGGCGCCGATGCCGTCCTGGTCCTGGTCAACAGCATCTACTTCAAGGTAGCGACCGCTCGCGCTGCGGTCCGACCTGATGCCCGCGCAGAAGCGTCGCAAACGGCTTCGCGCTCGCCAAACTCTCGGCGCTCGACTGGCTGCTAACTCGCCAATGACTCCGCTTGAAGTGGCAGCATTTCTTTTTTTCTATCCATCCATGTATCAGATCAAAAAGAACCAAACGGGAACGTTTCCATCCCTTTCTTCAAAAACAGGACAGCCCGTTATGATCGACAGCGCAGAACATGCAGCAACTTGAAGCGATGATTCCGTTTCTGGTTTGGATGTTCAAGTGCTTTTCCATGAATTAGAAAATCCATCGGTTGTCGCGTCGTCGCCGCACCTCGCCGTTGACATTTGAAAGCGTAAGTTGCGGGCTTCGTTGTTTTTCGTGGAGAGTGTGCGTCAAACGGAGAAAACCAAAACCCAAGATGGATTCAGGGAGGACGTTTTGCCTCACAACAACGGTCGAACCCTGTCCGGCACGATTAAACAAAAAACCACAAAGAGCTCTGAGCTCTTTGACACCTTAAGCGTCAACGGCGTTGACTGGAGACGACCAAAAAAGCGGCTCGCATTGGGATGGGCAATTATTGAAAAATAATGATTTGAGTTGCTATAGAAAGGCGATTCTTCGTTGCTCTCAACAGGGTCGGTGGCTGCGCGAGTTCCACGAGGAGGACGCGTACGTGGCCCCCTTCCACGTGGACGCGCGGCGCCACTGTTCCGTGCAGATGATGTTCCAGGAAAACACCTTCCGTTCCGCCCGCCTGCCGGCGTACGGCCTCCGGCTGGTGG